AAAAAATGCTATGCAACTAAGAATCTCCTGAGTTTGTTAAAAGTCATTGTGATTGAACATGTATATTGTGCACATAAGCTCCCTTGTTGAGTTGTTTTTCCACGACGATGAAATTGATATGCAATCCATATATGCATCATTTGTTGTAGTTATATTTGAATTAAATTTCATAAAGTATGGATTTCAAATGATGTTGAACCTACTGGGATGATTTATTTGAGAGATGCTCTAAAATGATCCAATGGGCCACTGTGCTATTGAAGAGGAAGAAAACAAGTGAGATCGCAGCCTCTACTTTATTATACTTTATTAATGATGAACAAGCTAGGTTTCATCACCAGAGCGCACTTTGTCCGAAAATTCCAACCTTGACAATGTTGCCCAGTAGTTTTAAAACATTGGTTCGACAATGATGTCCAGTAGGAGTAGTTCTAAACACATTGGTGCTAGGTGACGCCGACACACCAAAGAAAGATGCATGCTGAAAATCCCAAGGCAAGGTTTAGCATGTTTGTCTCAGCTCGTACTGGTGGCAAATTGTCAACGGCGTGTCCTTGGAAACTGGCCTTTCCTCCGACCAAAGCTCCATGTTCAAATCACCTGTTCCCCAATGTACCAAGCATTTGCTAACCTGACTGGGATCAAAAGTATTTACCAAGCTCACCCCTACACATTTGTCCACTAGCATCCATTCCCCTGGTAGTTTACAAGATAACAAATGAAACAAATAATCTCAGAAAAGTAACCAAATCAAGGGCAAAAAATGCTGATCAGTTAAATAACCTCAGAACTTTGGACAGCTTAATTTACCGTTTGGCCGGAGGTCTCCCTCTAATGTCACTTCTCCAGATTCTGGAGAGAACTCTTGCTTTGAGCCATTGATGGCCGTAAAAGCAACAACCACCTCTGTTGGGTGCAGAAGGGTGAAAGTAGGATGAACTCGCAAACATACCAACCTTCACAGGAGGAACATACTTCAGTTTTCCGAGATACTATTTCACTCTGAATAATCAAAGATACCTCTGCCTAAAATTTTAACTCAAGTTGGATCGGAATAATTATAAAACTTGCCGAACGGTAGAACAAAGCATACCCAGGAGAAAAAGAACATATGCCAGCAAATCTAAGATTTAATAGAATCTGAAAGCATTTTGTTTTGTGGCACCAATGCAATCTGTGTGGGCATTCACATGAGCGTTCTGTATTGTGTAATTACATAAGTCGCAGCTGCACAATTCCTGATCAAGGATTACAAACATTACTTTTTTTATAAAACTTAGCACTCACCTTGAAAACCCACCAGAGCCAGCTCCAACACTTCTTGCTTGAATGCTAGAGTTAATCTGAACAATCTTTGGGTTGTCTTTCAAAATGGATATGTGGCGCTGAAGAACAAGACCACCCCCAATATCACCTTCCAAACAAATAGATTCCTCCTCTCCTGATTGCTCAAGATACCTCCTGTATTTTTTCAACTAACAGTTATTTTGTTGCCAAAAGTGGAGCTACACAACTATTCACCCACAAGTCAAAGAGCATCAAACAGAAGTAAGAAACAGTCTAAATGATGTTTTATTTTACCTAACGACTTTGTACTCTTCTGTGCACCCAGCAGACCTATATTCAGTCCCACTGTATTCTTCATAACCATTTATTTCAATCCTGCTATGAAGCCACTGGGAATCTGTAGTGATCAAGCATAAACCATACGTAAGTTAACAATAACAAGACTTGGGTCAATGTAGAATCCATTCGCAATCATCAATGGCATACTAGGACTGCAAGAACATTACTCAAATGTTGAAGCATCTCAGAATAACCTTAAACTACTCTTTTGCAACAGATGTACTGGTCAACAGCAATTCAGGGCAATCTCTATTTGACCGCATATACATCCTATCAGTAACAATGAGATTGTAAACCTGGCCTGAGCACATTAATAATATAATAGAGGTGAACCATACCAGTAGGAAGATGTGTCATCGAAATAATACGACCACCAATCCATGGTACAACCTTAAGCAGCCAGTCCCCGCTCTTCAAATCAATAGGTATTTTTGAGAGTTCAGCACCTTCCTGTCCTGACGGTTCATCTATATCAGGTATAGGCGAAATCATCTCTGCACGATCATCACAAGATAGAAATATAAGACAAGTTCAGAGATAAGCCCTTCTAGATCTAAAACATTATATCCATGGCAAAATAGTGGGATCGATACCCAAACGTTTCTTGAGCTCAAGTTCACTTGTTGCGACTAAGCTGGACACTTCAGACCCCGAAGGCATCGTAATATGTAGTTCTTCGCCATCGACACCATGTGAACTTATCTGAGTTCGCAAAAAGTCATTAAAACCCTACAGCCAACATTTGTTTATTTATCAAGTGAGAAATAAGAAACAAGTTGTTATGGCCGGCCGGCTTAGGCCCGCAAGTTATCTTAGTTTTTATTTTCAGATTAGGCAAGTTATCTTAGGTTGATTCTTCTACAAGTTATCTAGGATATAAATATAGGTTGTAAGACTCTTTTTGAAGGCAAGCAATAAGAAGAATATTATCTCCTATTGCCCGGCTCCCTGAGGAGCCGGAACCCTAGCCGCCAACAGCCCTAGCCGCCGCCCTTCTCCTAGCCGCGACGGCGCCCTGCCGCCGGCGCGCCCGATCCTCGCCACGTCTCCCTCCATCCTTCCCTTACCACCTACGCCCTAGACCTGGTAGAGTACTTGATCCTACCAATTTGGTATCAGGTAACCGGGTTTCGACCATGTCTCCGCCAATTCCACCGCCACCACCACCGCTGCCCGCCAACTCCTCCACCACCGCCGCCTCTGCACCGGGCGTCACGGCCTCGCTCTCGGCGGGCACCACTGCGTCGCTCTCAGCGCCGGTCCTAACGGCACCCGGCACCACGCCGGGCCAAGGGCAGCCACAGGCCCCCGTCCAACACTCGTCGCCGCCATCACCTCCCCCGCAGCCGCAACAGTTCACGCCGGAGGCCATGGCGGGCGTCCTCAACGACCTCGTCACCGCGGTTCAAGGGATCCGCCTCTACCTGGTAGGTCCGTACGGGCCGCCCCCACCACTCCATCCAGCCATGGCCGCGGGTCAGCAGACGCTTCCGTGGTACTCGGCATCGGGGGCCATCACCGGACTCCATCCAGCCATGGCCGCGGGTCAGCAGGCGCTTCCGTGGTACTCGGCACCGGGGGCTGTCACCGGAGGCTACCCGGCGCTCCCCGCCCCAGCGGCCGCACGGCCGCCTTGGGCGCAGTGGCCGCCGCAGATCGCGCCGGCAGCCCCGCCACTTCTCGCCACCACGGGGCCGCAGTGGCCCACCTGGACCGCGCCGGCCGCGCCGTCCTCCGTCGCTCCCTACCTTCCAGCGGCCTCGGAGCAGGGTCCTCCACCGGCCCCGCCCAGCCCTAACCTGGGCACCGGCGCCTCGGAGCAGGGCCAGACCCAGCAGCTTCTTCCGGCGTCACCGCCGGCCCCCACGCCGCAGGCGCCGGTGCAGCTCCACCAGGCGCCGCCGCCATCGACAGTACCACCACCCGCGCTTAGGGCTACGGGTCGACCCCTGCACCAGGTGCAGTTTCCACTGTCACCATCGCCGATCCCCGCTTGGGCGACCGGCTCGTCTTCGGGGCCGGTCTACTCCACGGCACCGGAACACCCGATGCCCTCCCTGCGGTTTGATCACCCCTCCAGCTCGGCGAACTACGCCCCGGCGCTTTCCGACCCAGCATACGCGCCGGCGGCAACTACGGCCGCCCCCGGGCACGGCGGGCCGACACCCCCTCGCTTCGCCAAACTGGACTTCGCCACCTACGAGGGCACGGAGGACCCCCTCAACTGGCTCAACCAGTGCGAGCAGTTCTTTCGAGGGCAGCGGACGCTCGCTTCGGATCGCACCTGGCTCGCGTCCTATCATCTTCGAGGCGCAGCGCAGACCTGGTACTACGCCCTCGAGCAGGACGAGGGCGGCATGCCACCATGGGAGCGCTTCCGGGAACTCTGTCTCCTCCGGTTCGGGCCTCCTATCCGCGGGAGCCGACTGGCGGCCCTCGGCCGCTTACCCTTCACATCCACGGTGCAGGACTACGCCAACCGCTTCCAGGCCCTGGCGTGCCACGCGCCGGGCGTCTCCGCAACTCAGCGCGCCGAGTTATTTGTGGGCGGTCTACCGGACCATATCCGCGTGGACGTGGAGCTTCGGGGACCCCAGGATCTCCAGTCGGCCATGTATTACGCCCGCGCATTCGAGCGCCGCGCGGTGGCCATCCAGCAGGAATCACCGTCCCAGACTGCTGGGTCGCTACCCGGACCGGATTCCGCGCAGGGTCGGCCTGTGCAGGCTTCTGCGGCACCCCTCGCCGCGACCGCGGGGCGCCCGTTCCGCCGGCTCACCCCAGCTGAGATACTCGAGCGTCGCCGCCAAGTGTTGTGCTTCAACTGCGACGAACCCTACAAGCCCGGCCACGCCTGCCCGCGACTCTTCTACCTGGAGGTGGCAGACTACATTCCGGAGGACGCCGTCGCCGCCGACCTGGCCGCCCCAGATGTCGAGAAGGTGTTTGACGCTGGTTGATTACCTCGAAGAGTTCAAGCAAGCGCTTCCCCACCTTACAGCTCGAGGACAAGCTGTTTGTGCAGGCGGGGAGAAGTGTTATGGCCGGCCGGCTTAGGCCCGCAAGTTATCTTAGTTTTTATTTTCAGATTAGGCAAGTTATCTTAGGTTGATTCTTCTACAAGTTATCTAGGATATAAATATAGGTTGTAAGACTCTTTTTGAAGGCAAGCAATAAGAAGAATATTATCTCCTATTGCCCGGCTCCCTGAGGAGCCGGAACCCTAGCCGCCAACAGCCCTAGCCACCGCCCTTCTCCTAGCCGCGACGGCGCCCTGCCGCCGGCGCGCCCGATCCTCGCCACGTCTCCCTCCATCCTTCCCTTACCACCTACGCCCTAGACCTGGTAGAGTACTTGATCCTACCACAAGTCAATAGACATACCATAGCACCTCCACCAAGTAATATACTTATGTTTAAGTTACGTTTTGGTCTGTTCCAGGATCCTTCGGTTTTCAGAACTTTCACAGAAACCACTGATGAGTGGACTTGGGCAACATAATATGTCAAAAGGTAGTTCCCCTGTGTGAACCCGTACCCATCCCCAGCATCTTCGAATAGGACACCTTCAGCTTTACCTATAAAACAAGTCAGTCATGGTGCAAAGCAGGGTGAATCATTCAGTATGACCATGTTTTAAATCAGTCGCTTGAACGCAGAAAATGGGCTAACCAATGCAGCAACACACAAGAGATGATGGAAATACAAATTAAATAGATTGACAGCATATTCGATTATCTATACCTAATAATAAAGCATGGATTGGTTCTGCCGGTCCGTCTTGCAAAAAAAAAACTGTGTTTTCTTAAAATCAACCCGCAGTCCGGACTTAAGTCACACCTGAACCGTTATTTTACATTTTTATGAAAACCCCCTGACCTTTTAGGTAATTCATCCGCGGATCATATTTAAGTCAAACAAATGCTTTTCTAAATCATCCATATCTTTTAAACCATAACTCCGATTTGAACATGTTTTATATGAAATTTGATTAGAAAAATATATAGAATATGAATATGAGATTATTTTTACCTGTTAAGAAGATATTTAAGTCAAACAAATGATTTTCTAAATTATCCGTATCTTTTAAACCGTAACTCCGATTTTAACATGTTATATATGAAATTTGATTAGAAAAATGTGTGGAATCTGAATATGATGTTAATTTTACTTGTTAAATATTTTTAAAATGTTGTTTTGGAAGCAAACTTATAATCTATAGCGCATGATCCATTTTTCTTTCGTACCGGCGGCGATCCGAATTGCAAATAAACACCCACTATAACCATATAGGGAAAAGAAAACATCGATAACTACACATGCATACCTCTGACAAACGTCGTACGGGAAAACAACAGATTTCTCATGACGAGTGAGAGAAAGCGAGAGAGAGAGAGACGCCTTAGGATTAACCACATTCAAACACGTTTTGGTTTGTGTGAACACTGAGGCCACCGCCGGCGAGGGTGAGAAGGAGGATAAGCGGCAACACAATATGATGCCTCGCTAAAATGAAGGGGGTGGACCTATTGTGGTCTTGAGTGATGGTTGTTGGGTTAAGAGCGTGTGTTATGTTTTTCTCCCGTTGCAACGCACAGGCTCTTTTGCTAGTTTATCCCAGAAAAATACACGAGTATCTGCAGATTACTATATGTAACTAGATATGATCTTCACAAAGAGAAAGTGGGAGGTTTTTTTTCTAGAATACGCAAAAGCCTTGAGTTTTGATGCATTGGTAGAAAGAAGAGTTTGTACAAGCCCTAAGAAGGGCAATACCCGGAGTTTATAACACGATGCCGCTAAACGCCACCACCATCGAAAGCAAAGCCACGAGAACCCTCACATTTGCTGCAGCCTATTGCTTGGGCGTTGACGAAGATGATAGTGTTGTGATGCTTCAGATGCACCGACCACCTGGACTATAGCCGTTGACTTTCCAGAACGAGGGGGGGGGAGGGGTCGATCAGATCTAGGAGTGCACCTCGTGCCACACTGTCCACGAAAAGGAGCAACTAGTGAGGAAATGGGCCATCGCCTCACCCGACTGATCGCAGAGCACGCAAGCCGCTCAATGATGTAGCAACTATCCTGGCAAGCTGGCCACACGAAGAACTTGACTCCACGGGAGCCCTAGTCTTCCAGTCAAGCTTCCAAGAGCTCGAATCGACCCTCCGTGAAATACTACATCATAGCAGCTCTTGGAAGTATATTGGCCGAAATCTTCCACCCATACCGCCGGTGAGTATGCATCCCCAACCCTAGCCCGTGCGTAGGCCCCCCGCGGGTAGCGGCGCCGTCACAGCCGAACGGGGCCACCAAGGCAAAGCCCTTCACAGTGGATGGCGGCGGGGCATCTTTCCCCTCGTGACGGCTGGCTTGGGCATGGGTGCTGGGCTCATGTGGCAGCCATCTTGCGTCATGGCGACGGGGATGGTAGTGGCATGGCGGCTGCACCGGCCTGTCTGGCGGTAGGCTGGGTCGTGGTGGAGCGCTCGTCCGTGGCGGCGGCTCTGCCCCGATCTGATTCTATTGAGTCATAGTGGTTGCATCGATTCGTCGGTTGCAGGTGTTCGGCGGAGGGGTGCGGACGGTGGTGGTGTCCTTCTCCTTGGTCCGAGCCGGCGGCGCGCAGGCTGTTCGCAGAACGAAGGTGGTTTTGACCTAGGGTTCATGCTTTAGTGGGCCAGATCTAGGCCCAAGGCGAGTCGGGGCTTCCTTTCCGAGTAGGCGAAGGTGGGCTCGGTCCGGGTGGCAGTCGGTGACGACGTGCCAGGATCCTTCGGGCCAGGATCCTTCGGGCGGTGTGGTTGTTGTGGTTTGGCAGCGGCGCGATCCAGGTCGTTGGCGTCTTCGGTGGGCGGCGTAGATCTGGTTCGTGGTGCTGGGTGACGTCCGGCAACGCGCAGGTTCAAGGGCCGACTTTGTCCGGGTTGGTTGCCTTCGCGTTGTGCTCTTGTCTGTTGCATGTTGGTGGTGTCAATCCGAGTTGGTCTTTCCATGCGTTGTCGTGTCGTTGGATGGATTGGCGCCGGCGGCCACAGGCATGGTGGCGTTCGAGCTTGCTTGGCGACGGTCGTCGGCAGTCGTTGGGTTGTATGCCCCCAGTCCACCAAGATTGGCTGGTGAGCGGGTGGGGGCGCTTCCTACCGTGGAGGCGCCCCAGACCTGATGTCTGATGCCGAGCTAGGAATGGAGGAGGTTTTCCACTCCTACCATGGTTGGGTGCCCTGGGTGATGGTTCACATGGTTAGCTTCATAGCGACGATAGTGGCTATGTCTCTTGGTCGTCTGGACGACGAGGGGTGTAGCAATGGAGGGCTCGGGCTCATTCTCTGTTGCGGCAGTGGCGATGCCCGGATCCTGATCTGGTGACTTGTGCTCATCACAGAGCAGTGGCGGCGAAGCTCCACCATGTAGGCCTTGCTGGCTTGCTCCGCCTCGACACGCTCGCGGACCTCCCGGTCATCCCGCATCTCCTGTGCAGTGGCACCCGAGGGTCGACCGGCTCCAACCGCGGCAGGCCGTGGGGGAAGTTGCACCGGGCGTTGGCACAGTGGAGGCGGACTAACATGATGTCGTACTCACGTGCTATGCGCACTGTGGAGTGGAAGGAGCCAATCCAAAATCCGCTTGTGGGTGTCACGGCCGGTGACCTCTGCGAACCATGTCCCCTACCGGCATTGTCGCACGCCTATGTATTTTGGATAGCAGATGGGGGATACGGGATACATCGGCGCAGGAGGAAGTGTCGGCACGGCGACACTTGTGGCGGCATGGATTCATGTTGGGAATGGGTTGGCGGCGGCTGGATCTGGCCATTATCGGTTGCAGAGTGGATGTGGGTGAGGGTGCGTGCGCTCCGGCATGGATTGGATGGCGGGGGCAGTGGGAGGTGAGGCGGAATGGGGTGGAGAATTTTTACTCCATGGCCGGCTGGTCGAGAATATTTAAGAGTCGCGGCCACCATGGAGTAATTTTTTTACTCCACTAACGATTTTAGGGGTTCGGTTAGTTCCTGGTTAGAGAAGGAAAACCAGATTTTTCCTCCTCTAACGCTTTATTGGGGATCGGTTCTTTTTCGGCAAAAAAAACCTTTTTCGGCTATTGGGGATCGGTTAGAGATGCCCTAAGGCAATAGGGCTAAGGCACCCCTGATGTGAGAGATCCATCGGCGGTCTACCAAGGCATCCTGGATGGTCCACCGCTTTCAGATGCGCCCAAAGACTAGAAGCAATAGCTCAGGCGCAATCTCAAATAGCGCAGCCATCAAGCCAGTGATCCTCCCAGAATAAGGTTGAGGCTCTGTTGCCAACTACCATCCTGGTGGATGCAGCAAACACCGCGTGCTCTTCTCGAGAGAATTGCATGTCGGGGCCCCTCCAAGGACGGATGGGGTCAGTGCACATCCTCCACAACCAACGAACCCTAAGAATGATTGCCATCCTACCTAGATCCGAAACACCGAAACCCCCAAGCCATAGGGGTCGACACAATCGACATGGTAGTGACCGCCCACTACGGCCCTCCTGCCCGCCCAAAGAAAGCCCCGAAGGATCTTGTCGATCTTCTGAGCCTTCTTGTTGAGCTCTAGAACCACCAGCTGATGGAGAGGCATAGCGACAAGGACAGACTTAACCAAAGTAAGGCCACTAGCTATGTAGACTAAGTGGGAACATGCCCCACTTAGATTTTCCCTTAAACATAACCAATCTCCGATGCGCAACAAACCAAAAAAATAAATCGTTCCAGTTTAACTTAAAGGAACAACATGCATGATGTGTGTAGTACATACCATTTTCATCTAGTGAAACAATTAGTGATAAATCATCATCTAAACTTGCTTCACCAACATGCTTAATAGGACGGCCTACAGGAAGTATGGCTCCACCCTGTAAATACATCACCGGCAGATCCTGTATAATCATTCAATTGTAACTAAAATCAGTTCAGCTCCAGACTAGCACTCATGACAGCACAATGAAAGATTCCTAAAAAAACAGCACAATGAAAGTTTACCAACCAACTTACAGGATGTGAATCTCCAAAATCAAAACGTGACCAAACACCCTTCGGCAACTTATGTGCACATTCATGAGCACCTTTATCAGGTGAAGTGCTGCCAAAATACCAGAGCAACTGAAGTCACACCAAAGAATAGGCGGAAAATACAAATTATTTCGCTATTATTTCAGTATACATGATAACACATGACAGAAAATCAAGTATTTTACAGCCAACAATGCAAAATCAGATTGCAGACAAGCCCATTGGCACAATAACATTCAAGCACATATACAGAAGAAAATCAGGAGCAAGAAGTTTGTTGTAAGCACATTGACGTGAAATCGTTACCTTGCGCAGATTAAAAGTGGTCCCAGGAGAAAGGAAGTCTCTATTTTCCTCAATCCTGGGTCTTGTGAGTCTACAAGGAAAACAAGGGATATGATTTAGTATCACAAAATAAATCCATCCTAACAAGATTACTTTCTATCAGCCCACCAATGAGACAGTCTTAGTAAGGAAGAAGACAAAGGGTGGATTTTTTTAGATATCTAATTTTGCATCAGAATTCAAATAGCTGGCATTGGTTAGAATCAGAAAAGATTTCTCCAAACAAACGTATTCTGCAGTTCAGCAACCAAAGGATGTGACTTAGAATATGGGTATCCGCTACTTAGATACATTAGTGGGACAGTGAGACAGCAATTATTACCAGCAAAGAAAAGTGGAGCAGCAACTGGAGCACCCTTCTTATGTGAAAGGTAAAATAGAGTGTAGATATGTGGCAGTAGGCGATACCGTCTTAGCAGCGCAAGACGACAAACTTCCTCACACTGAAATATATATGAGCTGTTAGAAATTAGCAGTGCCAGAAATCGAAGGGGCTTGACTTTAAATTAGCTAAAATCAACGTGACAACCAAAAGAAGGTAACTTGCATGTCAACTTCAGTTCAGGTTCTCAGACGCTGACACACGAGACCTGTTCAACTTCAAACAATAGCACAGTGGAGAAGAGTATTGCCCTGACACTCCAATACACAACCCTCTGAAGTTGCAAACCTGGAAAGCTAAATTCTTGAAGGATCTTCAGCTGATCTCTTATCATACCAAGGTCGAAGTTTGCGAGTTGGAAAGCTAAATTCTTGAAGGATACTCAGCTGATCTTTCATCATATCAAGGCTCAAAATAGACAAGATTTCTCCGATTAATATAAGTCACTCTAGTGCCGAGTGTGTTGGCTTGGGCGTTTACTCTCTTTTAGTCTTTCAGCTTAACCCTTCACTAAGATTTTATAATGATGTGATACAGTTAGTACTTGCAAAGTGAAGCTAGTGTGGGTGTGTAGGGGGGCCTTATGCAAAGGTCGCCGTATACAGACAAAGTTGACACATCAATGTTTCTTTAAATAGGTTCAGTTACCTCGTGGGACATGACGTACTCCCACGTTAGGAGATGCAACGATAGAAGTGCTTAGCTCGTCAGAAGTCCGTAGACGTAGCCATTTCCGAAGCTCCCCTTCTCTTGACGATCCAAGACTTAAAAGGTCCCTCGGATCCCGACACCCAGCTCCAAGACTTACAAGGTCCCCTTGGAGGGGGGTGCCTCTCCCTTGTTGATTTATGTGAGAGTGAATGAGAGTACATGCTCATGGGGGCTATTTATAGCCTTAGGGATCATTGACAAATGACAAGGCTACCCTTTAGGTGGTACTTAGGAGGTGTAAGCTAGGTAATTTATGGTCCACTAGTCCATGGAGTTGAGATCTAGATGGCTCGAAACTGTGCCAGATTGGAACAAGCGTAGTTAAGATCTAAATGGTTTTAGAGTTTAAAGGTAAAGCTGTGGACTTTCTGCCGGAGTTCTTTAGGGCCAAATGTAAACTGTCCAAACATATTATTACTTCCATGGAACAAGCCCAAAAAGATTAAAATGACCACATATGATTTACTCCCTCCGTCCGAAAATACTTGTCCTAGAAATGGATAAAGCGAATGTATCTATAACTAAAATAAGTCTAGATACAACCATTTCTAGGACAAGTATTTCCGGACGGAGGGAGTATATGCTAACCATTATTGGAAAATAAATGGAAAGTGTCCAAACATATTATTACTTCCATGGAACAATCCCAAAAAGAGTAAAATGATCACATATGATTTATATGTTAACTATTATTGGAAAAAATTAAAACTAACATATATTACTCCAATGGAACAAGCCCAAAAAGATTAAAATAATCACACATGATTATTTGTTAACTATTATTAGAAAATAAATTGAAAAACTGTCCAAACATATTATTACTTCCAAGGAACAAGCCCAAAAAGATTAAAATGATCACAAGGTTAGCGACCCATGATTGTATGCAACATACACAATGAGAAAAAGTCCCTAGACAGTAACCCATTTTCTGAAGAAAAAGTTGGCCCCATAATGTAATACTCCCTCCGTAAACTAATATAAGAGTGTTTAGATCACTATTTTAATGATCTAAACGCTCTTATATTAGTTTACAGAGGGAGTATCAATTATCGAATCAAAAACTTAAGGTTATGGGTGGCTAATTGACTGACCCAACAAAATGGATTGCTGAAGGAAATGTATAGTACCTCAATATCAAGAGAACTCACTTATAGATCTGGCATTTTTTTTAACAAGGCTGGCATGTCAACTAAGCAAAAAGATATTAATAGAAAAATACCTTCGCTAGCAATTCATACATCATGGCAAGTAAAATGCAGAAAAGCATCATGCAAAGAGATCTAGGCTTCTTTATGTGCATTGGTGGGGGCCGCAGGCATGAAAACAGTACCTCTCGCAAAAAAGAAAAAAAAATAGTACCTCTTCACCGAAGGACCATGGCTCATGGTCAATGCTTCCAGTTTCAGAATGACCACGTGAAAATGGAAACAATGCACCAACTCCCATCCATCTCCCAAAAAGTTTTGGAGTGGCATTTCCAGCAAACCCACCAATATCAGGACCTGACAGTGGCTGACCACTAAGACCCTGACAAGATAACCGCATAGTTAGATTCCTAGAAATGTATGCTACTGTCTCCTCAAAATCACACCAGTAATAGTAAGTTTGACACAGTGATAGTTTTTCATGTAAAAATATACTAAAAATGCTGCAATTACTTATGCAACAGATTACGAATGACATACTAAGAAACAGACTTGTCATAAAAATAGAACTACAATTTACTAAAGAACCGACTTTTTAAACTAATACAGGAAACAACGGTTTTCAAGCGTAATACAAACAAAACTTGTATGTTGCTTTTAGGTCAGAAGATTATATTCACAACACAATTAATTCATAGACTGCTTGATTGTTAATTTGTTTATTAGAATAACTGAGCATGATTTAAGGTGAACTGGGATACTGTCAAAGACGGAAGAGGACTAGGTTTTGGTACATTTTTTAGATGGAACTATTGGGACTAGGATAAATATTTCACTTACCAATTGAAGAACCATTGGCAGACTCATATGCATATGCTCCCAGTTTGACAGATTATCACCAGTCCATGTTGCAGCATAACGCTGGCTTCCTATAAAACCAGCTCGTGTAAGAACAAATGGTCGTTTGTCTGTACTAGCCATCACCATTCCTTCATATGTAGACCTTGCCATTAGCATTCCATAGACCTGAAAATTTATAAAGATCAAAGCATAAAACACGTAAAGTAGCCAAACTATTTGACTGCATTCCATTACTTTTACTGATAAAGGAATAAAATGATACATTATGATAGTAAGAATGATTCTGGACACCACCAATATCTGCATCGCCTCTATGTATATTGCTTTCCGGCATTGTTTTTGTAGTTGTCTGCAAGTTGACACCATCACTTTTGGTTACATGGGACAAAATGAAATAATAGGATATAAAATAAGGAGCTATGACTAAGCATATGGCAAAAAGAATGAATCATGATAGAACATATACTTTGAAGACAGCAGGCTCATTCATATCATTCCATATTCCATCAACGCCATTGGAGACAAAATCCCTGACCAAACTAGCCCACCAGGTGCGTGTTCTTTCACAGGTAAAATCAGGAAAAACACAATCACCGGGCCATACCTCGCCTGGATTTAAAGTTCATGAGGGATCTTTTACTGATAAGTTCATCGAGATGACCAAAGGAGCTTATTTAAGTCATGAAATGTACCAATGAATGGACTGCCATCTGCCTTTTTAATCCAAACATCAGTTTCTGAACCACTATCATATACAAAGTAACCCTTCTCTTTCTTGATTCCTGGATCAAGCATCCAGATTGATTTGCAACCGATGGAATGGAGATCATCAGCCATAGATTTCGGATCAGGAAAACGGTTCTGTAAAATATGATAAGATGCCAAATTACTCAGACAAAAGCAAACAAAATATCACGCAAAGACAGTCAATGGCCACGGAAAAAACATGTCAAAATGCACTCAGAATACCATTCTCTGGTTCACATTATGAAAAGATTGCTCCATGGCAATTCATACAGCACTAGGCAGAACAAAGTACATGCCGTATTTGCCATTTTGAAGCAATATGTATTTTTAACATGCAGATGAAGCTAATACAGGTTTTCACCAATACTACTTTCATGCAGTGGCGGACCTAGAACCTTATAATTGGGGGTGGGGGTGCCACAATAAAAAATTGTCAAAATTTACACTACAAATAGTGTAATTAGGTCTAAATCTTATCATAATCTAAACAAACTGTCTTAAATTAGCATTAAGTTGTTACTCCCTCCGTTCCAAAATACTTGACTTCCATTTGTCCAAAAATGGATGTACCTATATACTAAAACATGTCTAGATACATCTATACTATTTAGCAATTTCAGAGGGGGTGCCATGGCACCCATGCCCCCCCCCCCCTAGATCCACCACTACTTTCATGTACCAATTATGATAGAACATGAAGTACTTACACTACCAATTGTGAAGCATCTAAAACCATCCATATTTTTAATATCAACCCAAACAAGATCGCAAATTACATGCCCTATTTGGCATTTTCAAGCAATATGCATATTTAACATGAAGGGGGAGTTAATGCAGTTTGTCATACTATTTTCATGTAGCAATTATGATTGAACGGGAAATACTTACACCATCAAATGTGAAGCATCTAAAACCATCCATATAATCAATATCCATCCAAATCACATCGCAAGGAATGCCTTTCTCTCTAAAAGTTCTGACAACCTGTGGAAATAGCACAAAAAAATAATGCCTGAAAGTGCATTCAGAGAGAGAGAGTGTGTGTGCTCAAGAAACATGAGACCATTTATTTATGGTAGTGACAGTTGGACCAACTATCCGACAACTATGCTCCGCAACTGAACCTCTTGACAGAAATAAATAATGTAAAAATATAAGCCAAGCAAATGGACCGAGATGTGGTTATGTCTTGCACCACTCGGTGAGGTCGCTTAAAACAGAAGTGTTGTGGTGGTTTGAACCGCAAACTCGGTGGTTTGGGAATTTTCTCTGAGGTACCGAGTTTTGGTTATGTTGTGCCCCTTTTTGTTAGGGCAGTTTTAACCTCTATAGTGAGTTGGTTTAAACCTCCGTTATGAGGCGGGCAACCAAAGTTTGCTCTGGGGAATTCTTCTCGGTGATCCCGAGGCTCTTCTCTGTGGGATGTGTTGTTTATCTCAGTAAAACCAAGATTCAAACTCAGTAGCTCCAAGTTTGCCCTTTGGTTTTTGCAGAGTGCATTTCAGAAATGCCAACACTGTCCCATACGGTGTCGGGATAGGTTCATGTGTGTCCAACAGTCACACCTAATAGCCTCCACGTTGATTGCGTCCTAGATGGAGGCCACTGCCTCCTAGATGGCTTGGTGGTTGCGAGCTCGCTGATCTTCTCTAAGAAGGTTATGAAGAGGCCCGAGAGTGGTTGTGGAGCTCACCATCTCCTGAGTGGAGGAACAAGCTAGCCATAGTGAGCAGTCCTTGTTACATGCTTGGATCCCAAGGGAAGAGCTCAATTCAGAGACGGCTAAGACTCTGTGTCCTTGGTCTTTGTGACCTGAAAGCCTCCTCAATGAAGGTACGATATCAGTGGATCTCTGAACTTCGGTAACAAACATCGTCCATCTCCCTCCCTTGTCTCCTCTACTTACTTGCATTGCATATCTTCATATTCTTACTTGTGAAACTGCCTTGTGTAGATAGTGATTCAATTGCTTAGCTTCGTATGATTGCATATCTTTGTAGACTTGGCTTGTTGGTGCACTTAGTTCAGCCTAGTTTTTTAGGATCTGAACTTACAAAAATCTGGTTGGTTATATTCCACAATTAAACATTGCCTAAGTTGTAATTGTTTTCATAACGCTTACCCCCTCCCACCCACCATGCGACATCTGAGGTCTTTCCACTAAGGGCCTCTTTGATTCAAAGGATTTCTAAAGGAATTCTGGAGGATTCTAGTCCATAGGAATTTTCCCTATCTGGGTTGTTTGGCTCGTAGGATTATAATCCATATGAATTTTTCCTTGGTATTCATCTGTACCAGTTTTAATGTGAGATTTTCCATCCATTCCAACCTCATGTGAAGAATCCTATGTTTCTCCTGCGTACTTTTAAACACCCGTACTAATCCTGTAGTATTGAAGATGATATGCCACTCCATTCCTGTGTTTTTCCTATTCCTGCGTTTTACAAATCCTGTGAACCAAAGAGGTACTAAGCATTTTGGATAACCTTGATTACAAACTTTTTGTGTTTTCCCCTTTTTGGCGAAACAATGATGCACCATCATAGATTAGATCAATCATCAATGGGTTTACAAGAGATGGAAACATTATAGATAATATGTGGGCAAATCCTATTTTTGTATACTTATGCATTAACAATCAGAGAATAGCCTCAACACATATGGAGTCTACACTGAACTCTCTTGCAGCAGGCGCCACCTGCTGCTTCTTAGTTCACATGTGCACGACATGCAAGATAGTGAACTGGACATTACTTAAACAGTAATAACTATTACACTTTTATTCATCTTACTGAAGGGTAGGAATTGTTGCCCCTAGTATTTCCTTCAGAAAATAATGCATGTAGAAAATAAACAACCACTCTGTCAAGAAAAATACCTTGAGTACTTTCTCAGAAGAATCATAGCTCCAACGACATTGATGATAGCCAAGAGACCATTTTGGGGGCATGGCCACAGTCCCTGCAATGGATATTTTTGTATTTATACTTTTAAGTGGAGGTCAAGTTAAATACTCGGTTCCCTAAATGTCATTATTTTGGACAAAGGCAAAGTCAAGCTTTCAAAACTTTGACTACTTATGACATTCAAAACATTTATCGAATTGGAGGGAGTAACATATCCACATCTAAGTTCCAATTCTGGGTTATGCTATGACCAATTAGATATAAATGTAATTAATAATTAGCAAAATGAAGCAACAAAAATGTGCTAGATAGCGCATGGCTTTTGGGAGCAAACTGCAGACACAATACAGAACTATGATCCCACCAAAGAGCTACTACAACACTTCGATTTTCCAGTGGCTCAATTGCTCTAAAGAATAACTCTCTTCAAATATATTTTAACAGTGCCAAGTGCCAACTAATAGTGCAAAATCAGTTAAGACTTAGAACTGAATATTTTGCTCACCAGTACCATAACTTATACACTTTTTCTTGTCAAAATGGAATTGTAAATTTTATAGAAAACACGCCTACTTTCATACTAGAGCAGAGATATACAACTCCAGAGTTTCTATACAGTATGTATGATGTTAAAGTTCAAAACATTGGACATGAAAGGTACATCTGATAAACATTTAGTAGGGGAAGAGATTGATTATGAGATGAGAAGTACCTATTGCATGGGACAATGACATCGTAACTTCAGCTGGAGAATTATATGGTCCAAAAGTAATGATAGGGTAAGCAGATGGGGCAGAAAACTTGATAGTACATTCTTGTCTCAAGTCAATCTGATATAGCACACGATAATTAAGTTAAGAGAAACAGATCAGTTCAAAACATAAGCTACAGAGAAATGCAGGGAACATACTTCACATCGTCGTGTGGTGTCAGCTAGGACGCCGAATGCCTTCCCGTCAGGGAGGACAGCCAACACCCAAGGGTGTGATTGATATAATGAAGTGGTCCCTGGCCCAAAACCCCATGCATCTGTGTTCCAAGTGAAAACCTAATGGGAAGATACCAAGAGACCATGAGAGGAAATTATTTCATTTGTTGAAGAAGCAGGAATGGGACATAATTATACGTTCATCAAAGGCCCATACTCGTTTCCCAGTTCGTTCAAGTGGACCACTAGCTTCTCCTGTACCGTAGAAAGACGTCCCAGAAGGAAGCTGCTTGTTGAAAGGATATTCAAGTTAGTATATAAACTACATACGTTCATTATTTGAACAATATTACAGTTGCAAGGAGATGGTATTAGAGCGCGTAAAGCAGTAAACACATCATGATTATGTTAAGAGATAATGCACATTACCCTCCTGAAATATGGGCTGAGTTTATAGATAAAGCATAAACCCCAATAACTTTTCAGCAGAAACCCCTAAACTCTAAAAAAAGTTCACTTACCACCTTCTATCCAAACTAAATGTTCATTATTTGTTTATTTTTTGAGAAAACAAAAGCTTGCACCTCGATACATTGATGGAAAGAATAGAACTACAACTGTTCAAGCCGAAGACTGGGCCAAACAATCAAACACTCATGACAAGACCATGACAAACAGCAGGCAGACAGACATTCCAACCGACCCACGAAACAACCCTGGCCTAGATAACATCCACAGAAGCTCAAGCGCACTAAACCTACCAAAGCCCCGCCATAGGAAAAGAAAATCTGACTGTAGAGAAGACCAAAATTGGGCCTCTTCCACTTTGGAGAAGCAAGTCAATGGCATCGTGGACCACAGGCTTCCGACCGCCAATGGTGTCGAGGACTAGAACCACCAAACGCTGCTCACAACGTAAGCACTGCACCACCATACATCGCCGTGTTTTGATAAAGAACTTGAAGGCATAAGAAGAAATGCATCCACCTACAATCGCGATCTCCACTCAACATCCCGCAAGAGTCCATTTGAGGTGGTGTGTGGCTTCAACCCACTCACACCCATCGATCTACTTCCACTACCATTCTGAGAGAGGACACGTATGGATGCCAGCAAATGAGCCGAGTACATCAAGAAGCTCCATGAGACCACCAAGGCCAACATCGAGAACCAAGTACAACGCCAAGCTGCCAAGGTTAACAAGCGTCGATGTCCGATGATCTTCAACCCAGGTGATCTCGTTTGGGTACACCTTCAGCCGGAGCAATTCCCAGAGGAGAGGAAGTCCAAGCTTATGCCTAGAGGAGACGGACGTTCCCAAACCCTTCAACGCATCAATGACAATGCCTACAAAATCGACCTTCCCAAGGACAAGTACTCCGTGGGCGACACGTTCAACGCCACCGATCTCTCTCCCTGTCATGGTGATAAGCCTTTAGAGTCGAGGCCGACTAATTTTCAAGAAGGGAGAGATGATACGCCAGTCGCCAGATTCCTCGGACATCACCATGCCAAGCAGAGAGATGATACGCCAGGTTCCTCGGACATCACCATGCCAAGCAAGGAAGGACTCGTTGGACCAGTGACAAGGGCACATGCAAAGGCAATCCAACGCAGATGAGCTCCAATTGATACACTCGAGGATTGGCTACTACCGAATTTTTCCTTGGACTTACCTAACTTTTTTCCCCTTGTTTCCAAAAGTAACTAGTATATGTCTATCAGTTTCTAACTTATCTTGTCTGGTAGTTAAATAACTAGCATGCTGACTTTGTAGCATGAACTGCTAATACTGACGTACTTGTAGCGGGTAACAGAAAACAATGGGAAATCATAAATCAACACCCGGGCTTATTTTCCCTTCTGGGAAGAACGTGTAGCTTCTTTACCTCAAAAGGCCAAAACCATCAAATATCCATGGTTCCAGGCTTCATTCCAAAGTTTCAGCAAATTTCGTTGGTAAAAAAAAATCGCTCAAAATAGCTTGGCTGCTCAAGCTGTAAACATACGAAAAGCCTCAGAAGTGCAACTCAACAAATTGACATCTCTATCCAAATGTAAGCGGTGTGGGCAGCCTATTGAAGTTATTGGGTTTAACTCCAAGATTTAGCAACATTTTTTGAATGGTTCTTTTTTTATATTCAAAATTTCAACTCATTTGGTTTTCATTCTGAAATTCCCACATTTCGCTAAACTTTGGCTGCTTTGGCTAAGGTCCTTGAGTGATCACTTAGTGGAAAAGAAAGTGATCGGGTGATGACAGCCAGGGGTTGGGCCTGGAAGCAGCCTTCCTTCGAAGAAAGTGTAAATGTATCAGGGCCCGAGTGATTCACCGAAGAGACAATACCTTGAAAGCAGCTTTTTCAAGTGTTATTAGTAGCGAAACGTTCTGTCGATCAGGGGATCTTTTTTTTGGTGAAAGACCAAATTTAAATGAACACATAAATCGTCCCGCAACAATTTACAGTATCCCTAAGCATGACATTAACAAAATCAATACCACACCGCAGATCAAACACATAAAAGCATCTTATGTCGCAACAAATTTACGGTGTCCGTAAGCATCGACATTGCCAAAATCAATACCGCACCCGCGCATCAGTATCACTCACATGCTTCTCATCCACCAGCCAGAGACTCACCGCAAAACAGTAGCACTGCCTGTGCGAAGCACGCATACCTTAATCACAACCTTCTGGACGTTCCCCGCCACCTCGCACGCCGGCACGACCGCGGGACGATCCCCGCCCTCGCGCGGCTCCTCCCGCCGCCGCGGCTCGACGAACGACAGGCTGGGCCCGGCGGCGGACCGCGCCTCCTCCGACGCGTCGAACCGGAACACCCCCTCCTCCAGCACGGGCACCCAGACCATCTCCCCGACGGGCGCGGCCATCGTCGCCACCGCCCCCGCCGCGGCCGCAGGCGGAGGACTCCCGCGGAAGCACCTGCGATGAGCTCAGCGCGGTGAGGGGTCCAGACCGGAATCGCGGATCGACGCTGGAGCCGGAAGAGGGATCGAAGTCGATCGGAGGAACGAACCTGAGAGGAGGAGGAGGGAGACGAGGGGCGAGTGGACTGCCCCGGTACTCGCGCTGGTGGGAGTGGAAGCGGGAGTGGGAGAGGGAGGCGAGGAGTGGAGATGAGATCCTGCGGGTGCACGGGGACAGCATCTCTTCTTGAGCGATTCGCTCGCTTGCTTGCGTGGTTTTGGATTTGTTAAATTAATGGGACGGGCAGTGCCTGTCTACTTGTCTTGGACCCAAGTGTCTGACGGCATGGGACGCTGGAGCCTCCGGCGTTTAGTTAAATACACTGAAGATGCCTCAACTTGTTTTTTGTGTGGTCAGTTTAATGCCTAAAGTTATAAAATACATGAAACTGATGCTCGAATTTGTCCGGCCATGTAAATACGGTGCCTTCATTCGTATCCAGACGTACGTACGGCGTACAAACGTAACAGTGGCTAAGATGCGCCGGGTGGCCCACCCGTGAATATGTTTTACAAAAAAACCCTCATTTTTACTTACTCAATATAAAAGCCACTAAATACATTGTGTGATAGCGAGAAATAACATGAAAAGAAAAACTCCATAACAACGGCACGATCTGGCCAGACGGCCGGACTATGCTTCAAATTCAACTCCTACCTAGAAAGCTATACAATCCATGTATCGCTCTGCAATTTTCTTCTTTTTATTTTTTTCCAAGTTCCTATTTAGTTTCATAACACATAAATTTTTCCATATGATCCATATGAAAAATATAATTATCAATATGCTATTACTTTATATTTTAAATATTTTTTAATTTTCATTATTGTGCTTCGAAGAGGCAGACATGAACTTAATTTATGTGGATTTAAATATTTTAACCTATATTAAGAATTGCGAGGGGACTATGGTATCCCCATCCCACCAGGGTTCAAATCCTGGTGCTCGCATTTATTCCTGGCGTTCATAGGGGTGAGTGTATGCACGTGTATATGAGCGCTTGTGTCTAAAGAAAAAACCTATATTAGAAATTATTGTCTAAATTTAAGAATAAAAAATGTCAACTGTGTTTGTATAAATATAAGGATAATTTACACAATAACTTTTTCACACATGTTGAACTCTTTTAAAAATACATGTTGTAAACTTTTTTAATGCATGACGAACATTTTTCAAAAAAGCGTTATAATTTTATAATACATGTGAAACATTTTCCAAAAACATGTTGACATTTTTCAAATGCACTAACACTTTCTTGAAGTTTATGGAAGTTGTATTTTGTTCTTATAATTTTCTTTTAAAATGGTAAAAATAATATGAAAATAAAAAAAAGAACTTGATTTTTTTGAGAGGTACATAGCAACCAAAGCAGAATTTTGGAGCATGGTGCCACTGAGCATGTTTTTTCTTAAAAAATTTAAAATTAGCACTTAAAAGTTTCATACAAATTTCAAAAATTTCACAAAAAATGTATGCATGTGCTCTAAGTGACTTTCAAGTTTTTTTTGAAATTTTGTTATATTATACCCTGCAAAAAAGAAGAAAACAAATCAGGCAAAAAAACTGAATTTTGCATTTATTTTACCTTTTTTGTATCTCTCACAAACAAATACAGATTTTGATAAAAAAATCACATGGATATATTGCACTTCTATGTGTGCATTTACAAAAAAATGTCCGGAGTTTTTTAGCTGTAGAAATCCGTTTATTTGACTTTCGGAAAAAGAGCACAATGTGCCGGTGCTTCAAAATTATATTTTGCATTGCAACGCAATACCTAGTCTATATCTACTAACCACAGTATAGCCTGGTGGACAGCCTGTGCGTGCAACACAATCTGTAAATTTGTGGGGCTTTCATATGTGATTAAATAAAATATGAGGGGGTTTTCTAAAAAAAGCTCACGTCTGGGTGGGCCACCAGCACGTGGGCACGCCACGCAGGCTGGACGTACATCTGGATACGATGAAGGCACCGTATTTGCATAGTCGGACAAGTTCAAGCACCAGTTTTATGTATTTTACAACTTTAGGCACTAAACTAATCGCGCAAGACAAGTTGAGGCACCTCCAACGTATTTAACTCTTTCTAGTCGTATGCACGGCATGCGGGACACCTGGCATGTGAGTAGATAAAAATGAGGTTTAGGGGCAACTCCAACCTATATTGACTTCATTGTGCAGAATTGTGGTAGGACTACATTTGCTATAAGGCATGATACCCAGTATGTCCTGTTAAATGGGTTCCGCTGCCGGCAGATGCAGTGGCCGTTAATGTGGATGCTGCACTCTTTAAGGAGTCTTGACCGATGGGAATTGGCGTGGTAATCAGGAACCACATCGAAGATTGCTTGTTGGCTTGCCGCGAGCATGTTGACGAGGTTACCGCCCAGAATTAGCTGAAGCACTGCCGCTACGGCGTGCGGTGGCTCTCACCCGTGAGGAAGGATTTTCAAAAGCCTTTTTCATTTAGACTATTTGTCAATTATTCAAAGAACCAATGCTTCGACGGTTGATCGCTCGCCGGTGGGGCTCATCACGGCTGATATCAAGAAGTTGGCGTCGGTCTTCTTGTATGTTCGCTTTAGTCATGTAAATCGTTTGTCAAATGTCGTGACACATATTCTAGCTAGATCTTGTGAGTCCTCTAGTGACTATTTTTCATGTAACCCCGGATTGTATCCGCGAGGCACTCTCTTTTGATTATACTTGATCAATAAAGCATGATATTCCTCAAAAAAGAACGTGCATCAAAGCCCCGTAAAAATCCCAAACATTTTTGTCAGCCAATGTCATGTACTACCTCCGTCCTGGTTTATTGGTTCCCTTCATATTTTGTGCCAAATTTTGATCTTAATTTTAACTACAAAATATTAATGCATGTCACCAAAAATAATATTATTGAAAACTATGTTCAAATATGAATCCAAGTATTTTTTTTTGATGACATGCATTAATATTTTTCTTAGTTAAATCTGAGGTCAAAGTTTAACACAAGATACAAAGAGGACCAATAAATCAGGGCGAAGGTAGTATCAAACGTCTGTGATATGGTTTGGAAGTTCAAAATCAAACAAATCAGAAGCAAAGCTGGAGGAAGTTGGAGAGCGTCCGAGCCTTCGACACCCCTCGGCCAACCCAAAAACCTCACTTGGAGCCCCGATTTTCTCATTCCATCCCTCCCTCTTACTATGTATCCGCGTAGTTCGAGACCGACGCTACTGCCATACCACCCACTCGGCTGCATAGGCCTTGTCGAACCTTTGCCACGCAACCTGAGCTCCAGCCCTGATTTGCTTACGCCTCCCTTCCACCCCTGGTCCAGCCGCCGCCCAGGTACTGCCCATGCACATTTTTCAATCCATGACGGACACCACGTCCGCCAAGTGTTCGACCAAAGGCCATAGCCAAATGTATTGACATTTTGTTGTTTACTTGAAGCAAACACGTTGGATTCATATGTGAAGTACTTCTACGTTGAGTTCATTGATACGTCCTTGTCAGATGAGAACAAATATGAGGATGAAACAACAACGATGCAGGGGGTTAATGAAGATGCCCGACGTGTGGAGGAGCATGTTCTCAATTTTAATGGACCAATCCTGGAACAACGAGGGATGAACCGGAATAGGGCACGGTGGCATATGGTGCTGATAGACGGCTACTTTCTCCCCGGTGCGTTATTTGAGATCTATTTCGTCGTTGATTCCGGATCCGGCGAACTGTGCTCGACCGCGCTCTACAATGGTGTCTGCGCATATGATGACTTCTTCATTTTGAAGAAGGATGTCGCTGGAAACATTGGATTCTTTGGTCACCAGAGTGCATGGATGCATGGAGAATGCTTGCCTATGGCACGGGCACAGATTCGTGGGACGAGTACCTTCAGATGTCTGAAAGCCCATGTCTCGAAATGGTCAGGTTTGCTACTACGGTGGCCATGGTGTTTGGATCGGGGTGCTTGAGAGAACCAGTTGTTGAAGACACCGCAAGGCTCATGGCAGTGTCAAAAGCAAGTGGGTGGCCAAGTATGCTCGGATCCCTAGATTGCATGCACTAGCAATGGAAGAATTGCCCATATGCTCTACAAGGGCAATATCAGAGCCATTGTAAGAAGCTCACCATCATTCCTAAAGCAAGTGGGTTTGGCACTCTTTCTTTGGGATGCTTAGGTCTCATAATGACATCAACATGCTGGAGCGGTCTCCATTGGTTGCAAGGTTGTGTGCGGGAGAAGCTACTCCATTCAACTATATCATCAATGGCCATTCCTACAACATGGGCTATTATCTTTGTGATGGTATCTATCCTACGTGAACGAATTTCGTCAAGACCGTCTCTAACCCTAAGACAAGAAGGAGCTAGAAAGTATGTCGAGAGGATATTTGGATGAATAAATGTTGTAGACAACTTGTGTGAACTTGTTTTGCGACTGTTCGAGGACCTACAAAACTATGGGATGAATAAACGTTGTGGTAGTTGATGACAACTTGTGTGATCATGCACAACATAGTTGTGGAGGATGAGGGTGACGGAGTTCGGGTGATCTTATACAACTTCCGGAGCAGAATCACATGAGCAACTTAGAAATGAAGTGGTTGAGCATTTGTGGGCACTTCAAGGAGAGAACTACAAAATGTGTCTGAATAAGTTGAATTCAAATTTGTACTATTTTATTGGAAACTCCATGTTTGGATTGTAATATTTATATTTGAATTAGTGTTGCATTGGAATATTTGCACAACATGATTATGGATAAAGGATTATATTCGTCTGTAATTATTTTCTGTGCTCCAGACATATGAAAAAAACAGGGTCAGAAATTTGGTGCACCGGATTGGATAGTCACCCCCCTATCCACTGTCTGGACGTGTCCATAGGTGTTTGGTGTGTCCATTTTGACGCACGGAGTTGGAGTTTCCCTAATGGACGGACGTAGCTATGTAAAAGTCGGGGTTGTTGGGGAATGTTGCAGAAAACAAAAAATTTCCTATGGTTTCACCAAGATCCATCTATGATTTCATCTAGCAACGAGTGATCGGATTGCATCTACATACCTTTGTAGATCACGCGTGGAAGCGTTCAAAGAACGGGGATGAGGAAGTCGTACTCTACGTGATCCAAATCACCGGAGATCCTAGCGCCGAACGGACTGCACCTCCGCGTTCAACACACATACGG